AGAATGACAGATCAAATTACTTTTTAAGCCCCAATTATGAATCCAGTTTATTAATTTTATTATTTTGCTTCAATTATTTTGCGTTTTGTATGCTCTTTATTCATTTAATTATCCTGAAAACTCTCTAGCAACAAGTACAAATATCTTTATCAATATAGTTATATTTAAGGTTTAAAAAGGGGGGGGGATCATTCGGGTTGCCGGCAAAATCCAGATTTGAAAGATTAAGCCGGACCTGGTTCAAGTTCCCAAACACTATTAGTGTTAGATTGAGTCCCAATTTTGAACGGACCTGAAGCTCCCAATCCAGTTAACCCCCCTATGTTGTGATCCCATTAATCAATATATAAATACAGGAATATAGATATCGTATAATATTATACTAAATTATATATAATTATATATTAGTAAAAATCTATTATTCTAAATATAAATAACAAATATAATTGAATTGTAATGATGAAAATGATGAAATTTCATGGCCAGCTCTAGAACTGATGCCTGTTAAAAATTATGAATTTGGGAAGCATAAAAACAATTTCTTGATCCCCTTTTCCTAAAACTTTAAATAGAGATAATTTCTACCCTCTACTTAATGCAGGATTATGAATTGATACAATATTGAAAAAATAAATGATCAACAGCAACACATACATTACGATCCTCCTAATCTTTACCTTCTAATTTGATTTTGGGCTCTTTCTATTACCATCAATGAAAAATATGACTCTGAACACACTACAAATTATTGTAGTGCGAATCCAGAAGCATTCAGATCTCCAATCACCATCGCCACGTCATTGATACACTGGCCCGGAGTGCATTCGTGAAGGGTGGCGATGCGGAAGATTGAATTAGAAATGCATCTCGGATCTCCACAATATAATAACATTCTCCTGAAGAATAACATAGGGATCGGGATTATCATAAACATTTGAAATCTAGGTAAAGTGCGAGAGCTCAAGAGACTGAATGTAAGCTCCAATCGTTGACCCTTCTGTAAGCCTATCCATAAGGGCTCCAATGGTAGCCACAATATCTTTTTGCTCCAAAAAGCCTTAAAGTCAATTTATGATAATTATGTAATTTTGGATTATTGAATAGGCAAGGTGTCTGAGTAAAGGCTCGCGATCCCATTAAATTGTGAACTAACAATCAAAGCTTGAGTCAGCCCAACCTCACCGTTAGCCGTAAGCCGGATTTGTTTTAAAAAAATATTAATATAAAAACATATTATGATTTCATAATTTTTACAAATAAAAATTGTCAAAAAAATTAGAAATAGTACACATTTTTCTTATATTACAAATCAATTTTTATTATTTTTTCTTTCGTTCCCCAATTTCTTACTCAATCATTTTTTATTTCATAATAACCAATCTCAAATTTAAAAAAAAAACTTATTAATTAATCAAGATTAAAGAGCTGCAAACAGAATGACTCAAACTCAGCTCAACTCATTTACATCGCACAAGTTTAATATGGTGATTGAAAGATGGCACTAATGCAGCCACTAAATATTTTGACTTGTCAGATGACCTTTTGTTATAAATTGAGAAGCACTGCTAGAAGATATTGGCAAATTCCAAAAGCAGGATCCGTAACAGATTTATTTATATTCTTGTATTGCCAAGTTAAGTCCTTGGATACTCCCTAATCTCCAGGGTAATAAGCCAAATGCATACCCAAAATCTAATACTTAAGGAAAAAACCAATTATGTTTTAGTTGAATTAACCATTTGTATAGAATTTAGCGTGCCTAGGAATATACGCCGGCGGCTAGAGTTTTGTCAAATTTGCGTCTAGCAATTAGCCACGAGTATTCCACACAGAAAAAACAGAAAGAGAAAGAAAACCAGAAGCTTTTACGTGGAAAAACCCAAAAAGGGAAAAAAACCACGGGGCCTCTATCTCAGTTGTTAAAGTTCCACAATAGCGTTTATATGAAACAAAGGTTGATCACGTCTTACAAATCGAGACGTATCAGTATACCAATCCACTTCTCCACAACGTTACAAAGCTTCTGCCCAAATTCCGGCACTTTCCCCGAAAAAATTCAGCCAGGTGCTCCAACGTCTTCATGGTGCAGGAAGAAGCTCCGGCGTGGTCCGAGAGAGCTTCTTCCTTCCTCCTCCCTCTTTCTTCTTCTCTCCTTCACTTGCAGTCCCTCTGGTGTAGAAAATGAGGCTCTATTTATAGTTTTCTGAGTGCATACCCGTAAATAAGGCGTATCAGGCACATTGGAGTAGTCTTTGAATGACGGCATCTATCGATCCTTTGATCACTGCATCCGTTCGTGGGCATTTGAAGGCCCTAATGATCGGAAAGTCGACCGATCGGCGCATCGTTGGATCGTTTTCGTCAGCCGTCGATTCGAAGCGACTATAAGCTCGTCAAAATCGGAGAACCGTTTTGGTAACTCAAATTGCGGTTTGAACTTTCCAATCAGCGCTTTGAGCCCTTGATTCAGACTCCGTTTGGGCTCGGATTGGCCGTTGAATTGGTGTCTTGGTGTTCGTATTTCCGAGACGTTCTCATTGACTGTAAGCTCGCTGAAATGGAGTTCGGGTGCTTCCAAAATTAAATTTTTGAAAAATTTCCAACTAAGCTCTGCCTCGAAACTTCGGTGCCCCGATCCAAATTTGTGAATGCCCTATCAAGAATTAAAAAAAAAGAAGAAAATATTAATATAATAACTAGTAATCCCTGTAAAAATTAAGTACTTCAAATAATAGAATATTTTTTAAGAAAGCTATTCATCTTATTTTCATTTAAATTTCAAAATTTATGATATTATGTTTTTTTTTTTTTGACATAAAACATATCAGAATTTTTATATGGTTTTCCCCTTCCATATAACATCTCAAATAAGTAGTATTGGAATGCTGTAGGATCATATGCTTAGTCCCAAATTCACTTTACAGAAGTAGCTGAATTATTGCACAAGTAGTAAATTTGTTTTTATAGTTTATTGTCGGTATAGGATTTTCAAAGTCAAAGTTAGCATAAATTATCACAATTTGATTATAAAAAGATGACCAGATATGTTCATATAAATAACTATGATAAATATTTTATATAAGAATCAAAACATCCGTATTGATTTCAGATTCTTACACCATCCAGACCTCCGGACAAAACAGGACACGTATGTATTGTCAAGTTTCACCCTCGTGCAATCAAAATGAGCGAGCAGCTAGCTCGTGCTACCAGACATGTGCAGTATAGCACGTGAAAGAGAAACAGAGCAGATTAATAATATGGATTTATTTGACAAATTAACAAAGAAAGACCTACTATGAATACGACCAGCCAGCCGTATTTATTGCTTAGATGACTTGATTTACTGCTGCTTCTAGCCAAAGGAGAAATGAAAACCGTCAAGAGTACCATGGAAGCCTTAGCGGTAACTGCACTTCGTCCATTACATTTAAGCTTCAGCAAACCTGAAAAAGAAAACGCAAGCAATTGAAGAGTTCAGAGGAATATGGCTTGGCTCAACTTAGATTTTTGTTTCTGTGTCTTACCCAAGCTCTGAAAGCTTCAAGTGGGCTTCAGCGTAGTCAGCAAAGAAGGCATCCTCATCCTGCAAGCGAGAGAGGAAAAGGCAATCAAAACCAAGTAAGAAATTATCTAAAGACCGTTGGATGATGCCATATTGCATGAGCAAGATGCAACAGGTCATCTGTGCAATGGCCTACAGACTTCTTTTAGTCTATGAATTGGGCAATGCGGCAAATGCTCATATTGATAAAAAAGTTTGATTATATATATAGAAATGTCTGAGGGAGAATAATACTGCAGCATATTTATCCACCAAGGGGCGAAAAACTGGGTCGGTCAGAAGGGCCTTGTCTGATGGGAGCTGAAGGAGTCCTTCCTTCTCACCAGTAAGAAGCTCGCTGTTTCATAGATAACTCACGTAAGAGAAACCAAGGTATCTCTAAAGATGAAAGAAGAAAATTGAGATGAGATTTACGTGAAGTAGGAATTGTCGAAGATAAGCGGATTTGAGGTCCAAGGCCCTTCAAAACCGGAGCGCTCCTTATGGCACCTTCCCTGTTGAATTAAAGAAAAAAAGTATTCACATTAGAAACAAAGCGACGAAAGAATTTATTAACGTGCAGGCTAGACAAGAACAACGAAGAAAAGAAGTATTTGAGACACAGATATGAGAACTTTCACTCACCAACGTGTGCCCACCAGAAAGAGCAACAATGTCCTGATCACTCAAACCCATATGACCGAAAACTTCCCTCAGGTGATCGGAACCTGAAATCATAGAATTGTTGGTCAGTTTCCTTCGAACCGTTGAACGTGCTGCACGTCCTATGTTGATTGTTGCGCTTATTGATGCTGCTCTAATGAGTTTAACTAATTAGCTGATGTCATATTTTGCTTTATGTTAGTTAATAGGTAATTAAAAACCCTGCCAGTAATTAAAACTCTTTAAATACTCTACCTTTGAGAATATTGGAGCATCAATGAAATATTATATTACACAGCTCATCTTCTTCTGTTGATTGAGAGCTTTGGCTACCAACCAAGAGGTCTTGGGTTCTAGTCATGCGTATATGTTGTGTGTGTGAATTTGCCTTAATTGACCTAAATGTCGCCAAAAAAATGAAGCATTAAATTAGCCCCCTTCTTTTGTGAATCTCCTTCATCAACTTGATCTCCTTTCCTCGAGCTATCAATGCCTTGAATTGTCATTTATCTTTCCTTCAACTTGTTTTCCAGCAAATCGATTAATAGGGTCATATTAATTAGCACTCTTGTTGAGCATTCCATCAGGTGATTCGCCTTTTTTGCTAGTTCCAAGTCACCGGATCTCCCATTTCCATCTCATCTCTTCTAGCACCATCTAGTGCATCTGCTATCCACAAACTCTAATACAATGTTCCCGCAAACACACCAAGACTAGAAGATCTCGCATGGATTTCATATTTTAGATTTATCCTGACTTTGTTATGTGATTCAACATTTAAGGCAATGTTGGTTTTCATGAGGTGGTAATGATAGAGTAAATAATTGTAATGGGTGGTTTAGATTTGAGTTAAGTTGTCATTTTAGCTCATGTTAGTCAATAGATAATTAGTATATTATCTATTTTCCATAAGATAATTAGTAATTAGCTTATGGTAGTCAATAAACTCCTTATATGAATTTCTTACTGTGGCTTATAAGTCAAAAAAATGACACAATTAAAACTCTGTATATATTACTTAGAAGATGGCTTCTAATACAAAAATATCCTCTAAAAACTTATTAAGATGATCTATATAACCTAGAAATTTAGACAAGTTATCATAAGAAATACCTTTGGTGGCATCAGGGAGACGACCTTCCTCGGGGGGTTCAGGTTTATCCTGAGAAACAATTTCCCATTATCAATAGAAGGTTATATTCAATATAGAGAAAAGGACAAATTGACAATCGATGGTCTACATGCATCAATTTTTTAGATTCAGACTCTTCGCATTCATGAAGCTCGTGTATTAGGAATATAAATTATCATTCTTTTTCAAGAAGGGAGAACTCAATTACAACATTAAACAGCTAGCCTATAGGATTTCCTAAATCAATGAAGCAGAGCATCGAATAGATTCATTACAACTTACTTGAGTAGCACAGCAAATTATATAAAAGAAGTTTCAGACTTCATACAATCTAAACCAATGGAAAGCTGTCAACCATGTCCTTATAGTTATATAACCCAACCGTTCACGAGTAATTAAAACCCATAAGAGAAAGAAAAACTACGTTCACATAGAAGCACTTAACTAAGAGAATGCTATGGCACTAATAATGTTTTCATTTCATTTTTGTGCAGATGCAAAATTTTACAGGTGCAAAAGGTTGTGATGTAGCTGCATATGGAGCAGAGAAGGGACCAATCACAAGATACCAAACCAAGATGGCCGCTAGAAATGCAAATTAGTTACTTTTACTTTCAGCTTGAAGGCTTTTCTATCTCTTTGTAATTTTTGTGATGTTTGAAATCTTAAATTATGTGTTGCAAGTTAGTTTGGACCTCCATTCTTAGGCATGGATTACCACTCCTTTGAAATTAAGTGAAACATTGCACTCCTTGATGAAAGGGGCTTCCAACAAAAAGTAACCCTTAACAACGACACTGGCGAACCTCTCCCTCTTTAGCAATTTTGAATTGTTCAAATTTTAAAAGGTATTCCATTTTAGTTCATTTTTGAGGTAAAATGTTCTCAACCAATTTGACCGAGAACACTTTACACCACTCAAGTACTTCATTAAAAACCCATGGCGGCCACAGTCTCCATCGCCACCTGCTGCTAGCCGCCTATTGCAACCGGCCGTTGATGGCCCCCGCCCCGCCATGATGGCCCCCGCCACGCCACCGCCCGCAGCCGCCCCCTGTTCAATCACCGCCCTCTACTATCCCTCCACCCCCGCCACCTCCCACCACCGTCTGCCGGCCACTCCGGTCACAACCTTCCTACAATTTACATAGCATTTACTTTATTTCAAACCAAACAAAAAAAGTCCTACATTCTTTTTTCACTCATCTAAACAGTTCTAAAAGATTCTTTTTACACTACATTCCTTTATGCTAGATATTGGCTTCAATCGTAGTAATTATGATTCTTGATATATTAGAAATTTGAAAAGTCCACCTTCTTTTATTTTATGTTGATGATATATTACTTCTAAATATTAGCTCAAAATAAATTACAAAATTGAAGGTCATGCCCAAGGTGGAGTTCGAGAAGGAAATTTATTAAAATGTGAATATATATTTGCTTCTACCAAACTTCTATAAATTCATTACCTAGTATCTGTATTATAATACCTATCACCATCTACCTAATACACAAAAACTTGCTATCTATCACCTCTAAGCACTATATAAGACGATAGCTCCAATGTGTTAAAACATTCCACAATCATAATCAAATAATAAAAAGATAATAAAAAGAGAGAAGAGAGCAGAGAGAAGCTTAAGCTTTTAATCATAATGAGTAAAAACACTTACAGAAGAGAAGAGAAAAAAAGAGAGAAAGTAGCTCTTGCAACTAAGGGAAACGATAATAACAATGGTAGTAGCATCTTCTTCACATAAGAAAATTGTTATCTTTATTATTATATTCTTATATACAAAAGAATTTTTTTGAATTATTTTCTTTTAAAAGTTAATAGAATATTTGATCTCTCTGGAACCATGGACATATAGGTGAATATCATCAAGCCACGAAAACTTATGTCTTGTCATTTTGATCTTTAGTGTCACTACAAAAATCTACCAGTACCGTCAGACTTTCCGACAGACACACATGCCTCGAAAATAGCAGCGGACTAACTTGCGAAATATGCGCCGGTAACTTTACTTAAACTCGACGAGTATTTTCCAACGTATTATCTATCGATAACATTACCGATGGATAATTCGCCAAAAAGTATGACAGAAAGAGTCCTATTTCGACCGCTATCCTATCTTTCTTCTCATTTATTTCTCTCTTCGTTTAGGTTCGCTCTACTAGCGTATGAAACTTACCCCGAATGCCGCCGCCATTGCGACCAGTCCCTCGCCAACATTCACCACCGATCTTGCCCACGTTCACCGTCGTCCGTTGCCAAGTTCGCCGCCTCCGTTCCGTTCATTACCGAAAGTCGCCGCCTCCGTTCCGTCCGTTGCCAAAGTTGGTCGGTAAGATCTTTTTGCTTGGTGTATTCATTTTTTTCATAATATTTTTCTTGTTTATGAGCTTAGAGAGGGATTTGATGTGTCTATTTGTAGTTGAGATTAATATCTTTTTATTTTAGTTATGGATGTTCTTACTAGACATTTGCAAGATAATGTACCTTGGTGTATGCTTTTTGCTGATGATATTCTTCTTGTTGATAAGACTAGAGAGGGAGTTGAAGATAAACTTGAATTATGTAGGTCAATCTTAGAGTCTAAAGGTTTTCGCATAAGTAAATCTAAAACTTAATATATGGAGTGTAATTTTAGCAATAATAGATCTAGTTGAGGGATTGTGACTTTGGGCGATAAAGTCATTAATAAAAGTACACATTTTTTATATCTTTGATCTATTTATGGTGAAATAGATGGGGAT